TTCCCGTCTCCATCCGCGTCAAAGAACTCAAACGTCTCCTTCAGCTCCTCCACGTCGCCACGTGTCTGATGATCATCCGAGGAGGAGACTACACGGCTTGCTAACTCCTCAAGACGAATCGCACCGTCTCCGTCGCAGTCCAGTTCCTCCATCATGACGGCGATCTCCTCCTCCGTCAACGGTTCGGGACCGAGACGCGTGAGAAGCGACGCGAGGTCGTGTCTCGTGACGGCTCCGTCGTCGTCTCTGTCGATCAGCTTGAACGCCTGGAGGATCTCTACGTACGAGTAAGGAGAGACTTCTGGGAGGATGCTGGTGGGAGTGACGACGGAGGAGGGGTTACAGTCGTCTTCGGCGGCGGTGGTGACGGAGGAGAAAGAGGAGGCGGTGGATTTAGACGGCGTGGAAGGGGGTTTGGATCTGAAGAGACGTTTTGGGTTCAGTTTGGTGAGTTTCATTGTGGGAAAAAATAAAAGATTTTGTGTTTTTTTTTGGTGGAGGAATTGTGAAAGGAGTGAGTGAGGTTTAAATGGGAGAGTGAAGTGTGTTGAGTTAGAAATGGGTAGACACTTTCCTGGAAGTTTCCTAGTGATGATCTTTTTCTTTTTTTATCGTGTTTCACAGTTCATTTCTTTATTTTTTAAAAATTTTTAGTTTTATTTGACGTAACTGTGTACTTAAGTTATAACTGAAAAGGCGAATTACTTTGAATACGTGCTATTTTTTTATTTGTTGTCTTGAGCTGCGTGTGATGTTTGTAGGATTTTTCGGATTAATATCTGCAAACTAAATAAGAGTATATAGTACTCCTTCCGTTTCGAATTAGATGTTATTTTAGAAGAAAAATTTTGTTTCAAAATAAGTGTTATTTTAGAATTTCGAGACAAAATTTATTAGGTTTATATGATAATATATTTTTCTATTGGTTAAAAAGTGGTTAGGTGTATTGGTAATTGTGTTTTTATATTGAAAATATGTAAAATTAAATATTTTCTTAATCTGTGTGCAAAAACATATAATGACAATTAAATTGGAACGGAGGGAGTATTAAAGTTCTTTGCCGAAAAAAAGAGAATATTAAAGTTCATGAGATTCGTATTTCTTAATCATATTGAACTTATACAAACATAAACAATACACTCTAGGAGATTTTTGTGATGAACTGTTCATCTCCATGTAAAATACGCATATTTTAATTTTGTTCGTCGTTCAAAACATAAATAATACACTTTAATCTATTATTTTTATGTAAATATTTTGTTGTTTTCTAGTTTCGTTATTTGGAAATCAAGAAGGTTTCAATACAAACGTTTTATCTAAAGCTTGCTGGGAATTTTAAATTGAATATCGGAAATAAATTACGCAGCTATAAACAGGATAAATATAACTTTTCCACAAGTTGATAAATGAATGAGAAACAAATATCAGAAATTTAGGGGATTAGTTAAGAGTAAATATCGGTAAAGATGAGATAAGATCAAATACTATTTACCTAACCTAACAAACGAAAAAGACTGAACTCCGATGTTGATCTTGACAGGTTTGGAAAAGCAGACAAAAGTTTAGGACATTCTTAATTGTGGTTTGAAGTTTTTTGTGTGACAGAATTTTGTTTGTTTGTTTGTTCAATGATTGTTTAAGAAATAGCTCTCTGCTTCTTCTTTGAGAACAATAAAATGAAGTTAACGTGCATAACTATTAACTAGTAATTAAGTACAGCTAGTAAATGTTTAAGAAGCTGTAAACTTTCATTTTTCTTTTTGATACAGCAAGTTCGAATTGTGAACTGAGTTTCATTTTTCTTTTTAATAAAAGTTGGGAGTGACCCTCCCATATTCTCACCAAAAAAAAAAAAGAAGCTGTAAACTTTTGAAGTGGTTATATTGATGAGATTATGCCAAAGAGTTCAAACACATATAGAACATTATGGTAGATAGATTATTAACAAATAAAGAGGAGAAATCAAGGGCATTTTGGCCCACCAAGCTTAGTCTTCCAGTTATTGTAGCAAGGACAAACTTGCTTGTTGCCATAAGTACCTGGAGGCACACACAAGCACTTGGTACAACATTTGTTGCAGAAGAACAAACATGGCTTCTTATATTGTGTATTCGAGCATCTATGTCCACACCGTGGTCTACACTCTATAATATTAAAATGGATTATACTTCGCATTCACCACCACAGATAAATTAGAGTAATTATTAGTAGTCATGTACCTTGGAGCTGAAGACTGCCTTCGGTAGTACCATTCTGTCAAAATTAACAAGAAGACTCAAAAGGGTTTTGTGGATTTCATGAAAGTCATTATTTGATGAGAAACTCACTTGAGAGCTATTGTGATGCGGTTGAGACGACTTTGGTGGATGTGGTTGTGGAGCAGGTGACGTAGAGTGTATCGGCTGTGAAAATAAAGTTGGATGAAAGTGAAGAATTGAGATAAGCATATACATATATCATAAAATAGAAAGACAGTTTGTGAAACATATTACTTACATGCATTTGGACAGACATAAGGTGGTGTAACATAACAATGGAGAAAACAATGAGGTTAAGTTTGGTTGCCATTTTAGAGAACCGGAATGAATATTGTATTGAATCTCAAGTAGATGGTTTCTTTTGCATGCTAAGCTTAATGTACATATAGTCCATTAATAAGTTGTGATAACAAACGAGAACGAAACTTATTATTACATGTGTATTGTTGCTGCTTTTAGCTCTATATCTTTCTCGTGACTCCAAAGTTCATATTCCCCCATTTTACTTTGTATTTTTGTGATTTGTTTCTAATGTTTATTGATAAACGAATTTCATCAAGAGCGACACATGGCTATAATTTTTGGGATTCCAAAAGTTGGTTTACTCTTTAGGCCATCCCGTGATTTCATTGTGTTTTGCATGCATAGCCAGTGCATGTGGTTATAGTGGTGACAATGGCGTCAGTTAGACCATTTTTTCTTCAAAAGGCGTTAATTAGTTCAGAAAGCTTAGAACGTATCGTGCTATCTCTGAAAAAACTAACAAACTATAATCTGTTTACGTTCATTCTTTTTTTTTTTTGCTAAATGGTAAATATCATTGATGAAAATGAAAGTTCGGTTACAAACTTAATTGAAACCACAATCTGCATAGAGCTGGTTTGATCCTAGTGACCGCAAAAAGATAAAAAACCACTAGGATACATAAAGATTAATTTCAAGCTTCCAACAAAGAGGGCTTGAAATTAATAGACAATAAGATCAAGTAAACAACAATGTAATTCCTACTCAAAGCGCTTCTTGCAGAAACAAGAGAATAGCCTGGAGAAATCAGTCAAGAACTCACCGAAGTGGCTCCGAGCAGGCATCAACGGAAGCGTCTGGCTTACACCCCGGAGCTCCACTGGAAGAGGACCTCGACCAACAAACCTAGCTATCTCGACTGGGAGACAAAAGCTTCCGCCTTAGCAATGTTGCGCACACTGAAGCTCGAGTTACGGTCAAGCGTAGGTGGTACAGCAGGCCCAAAACCGCCCACGCGACACATAGGATGCAGAAGAAGCCGCGAAGGAGCATAAAGTCAATCTTGTCGGTTTACGTTCATTCTTGTTAATGACTTCACTTCCGTTGACCAGAAACTGGCTAGTAGACTGCGTACGCCGAAACCCTTCACTGAAACTAGAGGTTATAAAGTCAAAGCTGTTATTCATTATCCACTTCAAAAAAAAAAATCAAAGTTTTATTTTTTTGAATACACTCGTTGGAATAGAACATTAATTAACTTCTCTGGTATTTTGGTGGTCTGTACTATAGGTTTTCGCCACATAATAAGTGCTAAATTTCAATGATGGGATAGACCTTTTAAATTTCCAAAAATATATATACAATTTATGTGTCCTGATCCCACATCGAAAGAAGCAAAAACATTAAAGTTAGATATATAGTGAAGAAAACAATACATATGTCGCCGAGCTTGGTAACGGAAGCTTGTAATCCTAGTGGAGGCTCTAAAGGTAATTAGTACAGTTGTTGGTTCTCTACGTGAGCTCTATAAAATCCACAAGGGTGTTTCCCTTAGGCTGCGTGCGGGAATTGGCAAGTCCCTAATCCGAGCCATTAAGGCGAAACAAAAAAATTTGATCCTTCGGCGGCTGCGTGCGGGAGTGTTGGGGAAACCAACAAGTCCTTGATCCGAGCCGTGCCCCATTAAGATGCCCCTATTCTCACAGGGATCACAACTGTACGACGTTACCTTTTTTGTTTTTTATAATCAACGTTATAATTAAGTAAATCACTTTAGGTATAATAAGAAAAAGAGGCCGATACTTGTAAAAACCGTTAGTTTTTTTGGAATCTTCGGTAAATTTTTTTTTTTTTTTTTTGAGATTGTTAAACTTAAAAAAACGGCTTAATTGGTAACCAAATATATATGAGATATAAAAAGTTTATTTTTAATGTTTTTTACTAAAGTATAAATGATAAATGTTTTAGAAGAGAAAAGTAACTTGAAAAATAAGTGCAAATGAAAAATGTATGAGAACAAATAGCCAAATGAACAAATCAGATCTAAAAATTTAAGTTGCAGATTGAGGTGTGCTGAGGAAGAAGACGAGGAAGTGTTGTTTTTTCACCTTAATTTTAGAGAAAATAGAAAAAAATAGGCAAAGACAATTATTTATTTTTTTGAACCATCATTTAAGTGAAAATAGAAAAAATAGCCGAAAAAGAGTTTTAGAATTTGAATCCGTTTTACCTATGGAACTACTAAAACCCACTAAACTGGTACACATTTTATTGTTAACTACTTAACAAATAAAATTATATATAATCTAATTATATAAAACTAAACTACTCTCTGATTAATTTTCGATTTTTCCGATTTTTTTTTCTAACTCACTACGACTTTGACTGGTGACTACCAAAAGAATAATAGGAACAATGAGGAAATGAATGAAGAGGAACAAAATAATAGGAACACTTATTTCATGTTGTTCCTCTCCGGATTTGATAAGGAATTGTTTTGTTCTTTGATTCCTTAAAATAAAAGGAATGAGAAGGAATATTGAAAAAAAATTATTCTTTATAAATGGTGGCAAATTTAAGGAATGAAAAGGAATTAACTATTATGATTCCTTATAAATGGTGTCAAATTTAAGGAATAAAGAGAAATTAACTATTCCCACACATTCCTTTGGTCACCAGTCAAAGCCTACGTCTATACAGACGGCACGCGTTGGACCTAGCACAATCTTGAATATGGATTCTATGTAATTACTTGGCAGATGTAAATGATCATATCTGTATACTAATTTTAGGTTTATTTGTGATATGAACACAAAAACAAAGTAAAATTAGTTTTGTAGAAATAGAGTAGAGGATAGATAGGAAGAGAGAATGCGTTATTTTGATAATATAATGAATTATGGGTTTTTGTTTGACTACAATAAAACCTCTATAAATTAATAATGTTGGGACTTTGAAATTTTATTAATTTATAGAGATATTAATTTACGAAAGTTTCCTTATTTAGATTTTTTTTCTATTTTTATTTATAAAATAAAAATATTTGATTTTAGCATTTGTACATTATTTAAATTTTTAAAAATTTGAGTTTTATATTGTTTTATTATCTTATTTGGTGTATATTTTTATGTTTCATAGAATTGTTACATGGTTTTCGATGTAATTTAACTAAATATTATCAAAATATATTAAAATGTTTAAAAAATAAAAGCATTTTTATATCAAATATAAAATCCCTAACTAAATATTATCAAAATATACTGAAATGTTTAAAAAATAAGAGTATTTTTATAGTAAATATAAAACCAACAATATAATGTTAGATTGTACTTATATAAAATTATATATAGCTAGATTATTAATTTATGATTTTNAACAATATAATGTTAGATTGTACTTATATAAAATTATATATAGCTAGATTATTAATTTATGATTTTAGTGGGACCATATATTTACATGGAAGTTTTAAAAATATTATTATCTTATTATTTTATCGATTTGTGTCATATTTTACACCGGCCCAAGTTGGGACCGATGAAATTTATTAATTTATAGAGATTATTAATTTATAGAGATTATTAATTTATAGAGTATTAATTTATAGAGGTTCTACTGTATCTCACTTAATTTCCTCTAATTTTAATGAAATGAATGAAAATGTTGACAAAAAAGTGAGAAACTATGTTAATCTTTCTTAGAGATACTTGATCTTAACCATTAATGCTGCTTTCAGAGTACTAAAAAGATCAGTAATCTTTTTAACAAAATCCAAAAAGGCTCATTGAAAGTAATCTTACAGAGGTTCAATTGTTTTTTACTTCACTATTCTTTTCATAATCACCAATTAAGTTCATTCGTGTTTAAAAAAAAAATCGTGAGAAGCATCCTGTAAGTTGTATTCTTCTGTTACACTTTCAACAGTTCAAATTATAATTAAAATTTCTCATTATTATCCATTAAACGTCTTCACATGAGAGAAAAAGTATTGAAATATTCTGTGAATATGCTTTTTATTGACGCAAACGAATATACACCAAATATCCATTAGGTGGATTTATTAACGTCAATTGCAATACTATGTTCTAGTTAAACCGGTTTATCATAATTTGAGATAAGCAAAATAAACCAAAAAGATAATCGACCAAATCAACGTATATCGAACTGTATTAATCAGTCCCTGTCTTAACTAAACCCAAACGGAACCGGCTGATATACCGAAACGTGTCCATACTAACTTGGTTACAAAAAAAAAAGGAACATATTATTTGTCGCAACTCGCACCTTATCTCGATGAAAAAAGATCAAAAGACACACAAACTTTGTTCTGTTCGATCGTCTTAAACAACATGAAAAGATCGTCTTCACTTCTGATCTTCACTGTTCTATCTCTTCCTCTAATCTCAGCCGTAGGTTGGGAGCTAAGCATACCGTCAACGACGACAACGGCGAGGAGTAGTCTTCAAGTCCCAGAAGGATCACCGTTCAAGATCGCAATCTTTGCAGACCTCCACTTCGGTGAAGACACGTGGACTGATTGGGGTCCACGTCAAGATGCAAACTCAGTCAACGTCATGTCTACCGTTCTTGACGCTGAAACTCCAGGTCAACTCTTTAAAACTCATTATATGCTCTCATCAAAAGTATAGTTTATTAGAATGTATAACTAACATAACCGTTTTCTTTGAAGTAATTAATAAACAGATTTTGTGGTGTACTTGGGAGATGTAGTAACAGCTAACAACATAGCAATCCATAACGCAAGTTTGTTTTGGGACAAAGCTATCTCACCTACACGAGATAGAAACATTCCATGGACTAGTCTCTTTGGTAACCATGACGATGCTTCTTTCGTTTGGCCTTTGGATTGGTTCTCTTCCTCTGGTGTCCCTCCTATTCTCTGTTCCGCACTCTCAAACTCATCCTCTGATGATGATAATGATAGATGCGGTTTTAGAGGAACAACGAGAGTGGAACTGATTCAAGAAGAGCTAAAAGCGTCTAATGAACTCTCGTACTCAACCACTGGTCCTAAGGAGCTGTGGCCAAGCGTGTCTAACTACGTTATTCCCGTGGAATCATCTGATGAATCGAAACGAGTCGTTGCGCTGTTATACTTTCTTGACTCGGGTGGTGGCTCATACCCGGAGGTTATATCAAATGCTCAAGTGGAATGGTTTAAAACCAAGTCCAATACTCTTAACCCTGATTTAAGGTATGACTCAAAAACATCAAAAAGGTCCAGTTCAAAGGACCTATGAGACGAAACTAATATTACATGATGTGGTTTTGGGTGTGTGGAGATTAAGGGTAAGGGCCTTGGCCGGAACCTCCTGATATTAAAAAAAAAAACATTAAAACTTTATATTAGAGCATAAAAAAAATAAAGATGTACATTTAATGCAGTATCCCGGAGTTGATATTTTGGCATATACCGAGTAAAGCATACAAGAAAGTAGCTCCATGGATGTGGTGGATAACAAAACCTTGTGTTGGATCAATCAACAATGAGAAAGTTGCTGCTCAAGAAGCTGAAAATGGTATGATGAAAGTTCTTGAGAAGAGGTCTTCGGTTAAGGTACTACTACTAATTAAAACAAGATATAGCAAAACATTTTTTAGATACAACATAGATTGATTTCCTTTATGGTAAGGCTGTGTTTGTAGGACACAACCATGGACTAGACTGGTGCTGTCCGTACAAAGACAAGCTCTGGCTTTGCTTTGCAAGGCACACTGGTTATGGTGGATATGGAAACTGGCCAAGAGGATCAAGGATTCTGGAGATTACCGAGATGCCTTTTCGGATTAAGTCTTGGATTAGGATGGAAGATGGAACTGTCCACAGTGAAGTTAATTTAACTTGTGATGATTAGTCTTTTTTTCTTAATTACATACTCAACATTGTGTGACAATATGATCCAAACATAACATATACTTTACCTGATTAAGGAAAAAAATAAGCGTTCTAGGAGTGGCAACTGAGTAGTGTATTTTTCTGAGCGCTTGTGTTATTATCATTGACTGTCTGTCTCTTTCTCCTATAGGAGCATTAATTTGGACAAGAGCAGCAACCTGTGAATCCCACTTCTAATATTGTGAGAGGAATACATGAACACATTGAGATGTAAGAATGAGAACTCACACTGTCAACCACAATAACGTCTACTGATCCATTCTGTGTTAGAACATCGACAGTACTTAGCATATTCATGATATTAGAAGCTCTTCCGTGTTTACAACTATTGACTCTGCTAGAGTACATCCATGGCATTCTCCACTAACAGCTTAGAGTGTTCCATCAAAAAACACCTGAAGTGGAAAGCTGTGATAATGCTGAACGCAGATTAGTGTCTTTCTCCGCTACTTTTGTACCATTTTAAGATTCATCAAAGCTCAAAGATTGAAGCTTCAACTAAACCAAATGGAAGCACACTCTCGTTAAGAGACTTAAAACCAGAAGAACCATTCAGTTCATGGAAAATCACCAACGGAAAGGGAAGTTACTGATGTTACCTAAAGACAAAAGATAACGGGTGTACATTGCTAGAGCAAGCGAAAACACCACTTCATCCATTCTGTTTAACAGACACAAAAAAAAAAAAAAAAAAAAAAAAAAAAAAAAAAAAAAAAAAAAAAAAAAAAAAAAAAAACAGAGCAAGACAAAGAGTAAACACAAGAGTGTCATTAAGTCAGAAGCTGCTTTAAGCAAAAATAAAAAATAAAAAATAAAAACAAGACTTTATTACTGTGAAACAACTTGGGGACACATTAGGGCAGAAACTAAGCATTGTTAAGAACTAAAGCGAGTTGACATTTAGAGAGGAAGAGAAAAAAGCAGAACCTGAGATAATATAAAAGTAGGAGAAGAAGCGTAATCAGACTCTAATCGAACTCGTCTTTGAGTAGCTGGTGCTACTCTTACCTCGGTTAGTGACTTTGGTTTAACCGGTACGATATGTGGACCGGAAAACGGTTACTAATAGAAAATAAAAAATCGAGCGGTCGTTAATATTTTCAATAACAACAAAAAAATTCTTTTATTTTTCCGGGAAAAACAATCGGTGCCGAGGTTGCGATTGCGAAGAAGAAAGAATGATCATCTCCAATATTGCATCATCCCTTTCTCTGCTCTCTTCTTCCCATAACAAATTATCCGTCGATCTCCAATTTTATCCGAACTCTAAACAGAGGAAAAGATGCTCTGTTCTGTGCTCCGGAGTCAGAACCGCGGCTAGACGGCAGCGGCAGAGTCAAGATTTCTCCGCAACTGAAGCTAGGGTTTCCCTCGTTATCGCTCTCGCTTCTCAGGCTTCCTCTGTTTCTCAACGCCGTAAATGTTCCGTCTTTCACTGATTCTGTTTTTGTAACTGAACTTATCAAACTCTTTTTTTTTTTTTAAATTAGTTTTGGCTGATTTGGCTGTGGAGACTGCGAAGTATGTGTTTCCGAAGAGATTCAATAGCTCTAATCTTGAAGAAGCCCTAATGTCTGGTTAGTTTTGTAGCTTCTTATTGTTACTCTGTTCTTGACATGTGATTTTATTTAAATTATTGGAAAAGCTCGAATTTTTCTGTAGTTCCGGATCTCGAGACGATGAATTTCAAAGTTTTAAGCCGGACAGATAGATACGAGATCAGAGAAGTCGAGGTTGTTCTTTCACACTCACTCAATCACATTCTCTGTTTTTTTAATGGTCTCTGTTTTTTTTATAAAGCTGTGAGCTTTAAATGTTTTGATTACAGCCTTATTTTGTGGCGGAGACTACAATGCCAGGGGGAAATGGATTCGATTTCTATGGTGCTTCTAGGTCTTTTAATGTCTTAGCTGAGTACCTCTTTGGTAAGGTACTACCAATACAAGCACTTCCTTGATTTTGCTACATCTCTGTTTGATTTGAATGTTGATTTGATACTTTTGGTTTGCAACAGAACACGGTAAATGAGAAAATGGAGATGACGACTCCTGTTGTTACTCGTAAAGTCCAATCTGTTGGAGAGAAAATGGAGATGACCACCCCAGTTATAACTAGGAAGGTAAATAAATATCTCATTAGTAGATCATGGAGTGACTCTCTTTGTTGAAAGTTCTTACAACATAGTAGTTAGAATCATACTTGGAGTAGCTTTGAGTGTCTTGGTTTAGTCAGTTTATTATGTCAAAGCTGTTGTTGGAAACTATTGAGAGCATCACATTCATATGCTCTATTTAAGTGCTAGATTATGGAGTCCCAACGTATAAGTTCACCTTTTAATTGTTCATAGTCAATTAGTATCTTAATTTTTCCATATGTACTCTTGCTTCAGGGGAAAGATCAAACCCAGTGGCAGATGTCTTTTGTCATGCCTTCAAAGTATGGTTCAAATTTGCCTCTTCCTAAAGATCCTTCAGTCAAGATTCAGGAGGTTCCACGGAAGATTGTTGCTGTTCTCGCCTTCTCAGGTCAGTAAAGTATCACTCAGTCAAGATTCATGAGATTTCACTTTTTCACATGTGACTATTGGCTAGTTTGAATAATGAAGCATATTAATATTACCAAAGTAAGGTTTAGTCTAATGCGTGAGAAACAACACATACACTTACTGCAAGCACGTACATATTCATGGTTCCAGATAGTTTATCTTTGGTGCCTTTCAAGCATCTAACATAAAGATGAACAAAATCAACTTTATTTCAGGATACGTAACCGATGAAGAGATTGAGAAACGGGAGAAAGAACTAAGGCGAGCACTTCAAAATGACAAGAAGTTTCGAGTGAGAGATGGAGTTTCAGTTGAAGTTGCACAGGTTCATCAATAATCATATCTAAAGTCCAATCTTATATTTCTTAGAATCTAATACTTTAACACTCTGCAAAAACTCACTCCCTGCAGTACAATCCACCATTCACTCTCCCGTTTACCCGCCGCAATGAGATCTCTCTCGAAGTGGAAAGCAAAGAATATTAGTCCTCTTTTCACTGGTACATACATAAATATATACACACAAACACTTGTATACACTGTTAAATACTGTTTGTGGTAAAAGACAAAACGCGTTTACTTGAATAGTTGAATGTGAGTAAGTAAACCATTATGGATCTTTCACTTTACTTATAGGCCACTAGATATACATAATTATAGCCCTATAGGCTTTGAAATTTAACCCAAAACAAGCACTCACCTTTTTAGTTACCTTTTGGAAAATTCAACACAACATATATTCACATTTTTGGGTATTTTATACAAACTTTGAAACTTTCTTTTATGTAATACCATGGGAACCTGGGAATTACATACATTCTTTGACAAGCTTTGAGTCTGTTGTATCTATGTATGTGTCATATATATATGTAAGATATGGACATGCTATTAGGCTAATCTGATTCTGGAATGCTATCTAACAAAGGTCTCCAGCCTCTAAGACACTCAGCAGCAGCAGCATCATGACACAGATGTTGCTTATCAAGACTCCTATAGACCATTTCTTGAACTGAACCTCCTTGAATCAGCTTCTCGAGCTCTTGCTTACTCACAACCATCTTCACTCTCACAACACTAGGACTCTTCTCCTTAGTATCTTCTTCTTTTTCAACCTCTGGATTTGCAAACCTGACTTTCTTCGTTTTCTTGTGCTTTACTGTGCTCGTCTGCTTCGGTATGAGATAGTAGAGACGGCCACAGAGGAGCTTGGCTTGCGGATGAAGATGACAGTTGTTTGACAAAGAATCAAAGAGAGAGTAGTGACCAGAGACTTGGGTGAGGATGTCATGAACCTTCATGGGTCCTCTGTATTCAACTACTTCTCCATCATTTCTCATTATCTTTATCACTTTCTTCTCCATTACTATACAATTCCCCATCTTTTTAAAAATCTTGTTTTGGATTTTTGTTTACTTTAGTTTGTGATACTCTTCTATGTAAATAATGTCTTTGGAGAATTTTTTTTGTCTGTCCAGTTTTGGAGATGTGTCTTCTCTATATTTATAGAGAATAGGGTTACTTAAATGCCCTTCTACTTCGTGAGTATTACGACAAATGCCATTATCTCAGGTGGACCCCTAACTGATCTTTTTCTCATTTTTAAAACATATACTTTTATGTCGTGGTGGGCTTTGGTCGGGTGGTGCTATCCTAATTGTAATTCTTTTTTAGAATGTGTTAATTTCGTTGCAAAATCATTATTGTTTGTGTTTTTGGAAACACGCTAATTGTACAAATAACTTGCAGTAGTATATTGTGATCTCTTGAAGATTTGTTCTTGTATCATGTACATTAAGTAAGATCTATTTATGATTCTTTTCATGTCGGTTTATAAATAATAACGATGGAGGGCATATAATATGTATCCACTACCCGCAACTGGTTTCTTTTGCATAATTAAAATGATGTTTGAATATTCAAGTTGTTCTTATTAATCTGGCTTTTATTTTTTTGCGTCAATGTATAGAGTTAAATAGAAAAAAGTTTGTTTTTAAATTTGATTGATTGAAAAAAATAACAGTTGAATTTTTTTTTAACCTAATAAGTTTGTTTTGATCGCTTTAAGCCTTTAACTAATAAAAGTAAAGAGTATAGTCAAAAATGGCATTAACTTGGTATTGGAGTTGGTAGATTATTGTGAAGTATTTTCTGTGTGGTTTCATTACACCAGCAATATGTATACGTTAGAAAACATCTAACCGCACTTGTTTCAACTGTTACAACCATTTACAATCCAATAGTTACAAAAAGAATAGGATGTTAGAGGAGGCTTGCCTATACCTAAAAGTGGAGCCACTAGCTAGGAGGGACCACAAAGGAGTCCAGATGACTTTTGATGAGTGGATGTCACTTCCAAATGCTAACCACAACTTGATTCCTGTAATCATTCTTACATTGAAATTTACCCTTTTGTCTTAATTTCCTTCGTTTCATAAAACCTCATCTCACTATACATTTTTGCACTCATTTCATTATCTTATCTTTTTTTTTTTTGTTAAAATGGTTAGTAAACAAGCATTATCTTATGTAATATTCACCTGCCAGGAGATTTGCATAACAGTATCCTCATTAGTTTGCCATTTACCGACGTTTTATGATTTTGTTAGTTTCGAATTGTTGCTCAAAGCTGATGACTAAACTTGATGAAGCAGAAACAGCCTGCTACTTCAAATTCATGCTTATCAGCTTATGCACATGTTGATTCCAATACTGTTTGATTACAATCTATAATAAGTGAAACCAAACGCACAAGATTCAAGAGTAAACACAACCAAATTTTAGTTTGATAACGTGGACACGCCTACGTACTTTGACTACTTCCTAAAATAAAGCTAATTAACAGAAAACAAATTAATTAAGCTCTTATAATTTGGAGTATAATTAAGATTTTTTCTTCTCGACCAAACTTGATTTCCTGTGATGCCTCAATGAAAATGTTTTCAGGTATGCGTAAAATTAGACGTTATTTATTGGTTTTGGCAAAGAGAGAATGGACCGTTATGGCAGTTTTTTAACCTAATATATAACAAGAAAACCGAACACTCGTCACCACTTGATATTTTGCCACTTTCCCAATAGGACACCCAAACTTTCCGTATCCATCACAATCTCACATACACAGTAATACATATAAACCTATATATTTCTTCCATCTTCATTACGTAAGCTTATGCAAAGTTGATATTTTTGTGGTTAGTGTGGTCCATTTCATCAACTATATAAGCTTAAAATGCTTACAATTATAAGTGGGTTCGAATAGGTTCCACCAATGAAGTATGTTTCATATTTTGTATTTTTATTTTCCTAAAGTATGAATACATACTAATCACACATAAGATATTTATACAAAGTGAGGCATATATATTGCAATGAGTACAAATAAAATTAACCCAATGTAAATCCCTGACCACTTAAAATTATTTCAGCCAATTCGGTTGACCTAAGTGGGTTTAGATTTTTTAGTTGCCTCTTTGGTTTTGGTCGGTTCTGATCTTTTTTTTTAACTTATGTAGGTTTTTGATGTTATCGTTGACGTTGATTTGGGGACACACTCAGAGATAATGATAAAAATAAGAAGAAGATGGAGAGGTAGTGAAGATAACAATCTTATACAATGGGTGGGTAAAGAAAAATCTCTTATGTTTGTTTAGGGTGAATGGTATTGGTGGGTATTGATGCTCTAAGCAAAAGATAAAATATACAATTATTAGATAAACCATTAATTTTGCCTCTGCTTACAATCTAGGGCATTGAGTGCTCTCTTCTCTTAGTGGTGGCGGTAGAAATTATGTGAACGTGAAAGAGATGTAAATCTAATAAATTTGTGCTGTAGTAAATAATGAATATCCAATGCATATATGTTAATAGTGACCCATATGTTCATATGAACTTCACTAAGTTCGAAATGATAACTTTTAGTTTGTACATATAAAACAGCCATGATATAACTTCTCTTTTGTTAGAGACAATATACATATTGTTATAAGTGGAACTAAGTGCATGCTTAGATTATGTTTTAGCCGGTCCTGAAATTTTAGAAGTTTAAAACAATTATTAAAAAATATTATTTTTGAGGTCTCATTTTCGCTATGTCTAGAACCACTTCAATGAGTTGAGAATCTACTTGTATGTTTTTCTCGCCAAATTTTCATTAGAAAAAACCTTAATTTCTGTTAAAAGTTTGGTTTTATGATTATCCCTCCCATTGGGGTAAAGTAAACTACACCAAACCATATCAACTGTTCTTTTAAAGGATAAGCTAGGTTAGGACCCGCGCCTTGCGCAGAATAAATATGTTACATACATTACTTTTACGTATTATATATTATTTACATATTATAAAATAATAAATATATATTGATGATAAAAAATTCAGCAACTATTACGTATATAATTAAATTGGTTTATACATATAAATATGTTTTTTTAATTTAAACAGATTTTTATGTTATATGATACAATTAAGTTTATTTAAAGAAACAATGAAAAACATTAATAAATCATTTATGATTAGTTTAATAAAAAGCTTATTATATATTTAGATGGACCAACATATTTTCCTAAAGATTCTAAGAATGATTATGGTGATGACACGTGGCTACAAAAAAAAATGTTGTAATGTTTCTATTTTAATATATAAGGGATTTAGAATGCATATTCCATTGTTGTAGTACCAATGGCACTCAACGTAATTAATCTAGTCTTTTAAGGATGGTTCTAATAGAAGGCTGAGGATGCATGAGAATCCGACACGTCATCAAAATGGCAACACTGTAATTACTTTACTCAATGAAGATTATTCTTTCAAATTGCTTCGTGATTAATATTAAGGAGATAAATCATAAAGAGTCGAAGCATCGTGGTCTAATGATCAAAGTTTAAAAAAATTTATATCTAGATCTGAGATTCAAATTCTAGTCTACGTAGTTTCTATAGCAAGAAATCTCTATTTCAATTTTCGAAGAAGCGATGAGCTAGTCATACAAAAGAATATATTAAAATTGGGTTAAAAATAATAAACAAAACTTGGCTAAAGAAAATAAATATCATGACTAAAAAGAGCTTAAAAGCCTGAAAGCCCAAAACGGCCTGTGGTATCGTGGTGCTAATTCCCGATGCGGTTAAATCATAATTACGGTTCAAATAAAATACAATCCCAAACCGGACTTCCCGGTTCAACAGATCTACAAAACCCAATCACCCCTTCCCTCCACATCCACTTTAACCAACATGGAACAACCCCGGCCAACCTCCACGGCGTCTCAGCCGTCAGAAACACCCTCTCAACCATCAGAAACACCTCCAAAACCAGCGGTTCTCTCCCAAATCCAACAACCTCCTCCCACCAATCCAAACCCCTCCTCTCCATCCCCACAATCACAACCCCTAAATCCAAACCCTAATCCACCTCAATACACACGTCCGACGACATCCCCGGCGCCGCAACAGAATCAACAACACATTCCTCAGGCTTTGAATCGGCCTCCTCCACCGTCTTACTCTAGACCGTGGCCGCCTCAACATTCCTCCTACTCTCACTTCTCCTCCTCCTCCGCATCTTCGTCTTCGTTGCTATCTTCGTCTTCGGCGGCTTCGTCATCGTTGGCTGTTACGGGGCAGCAGAGAGGAGGTGGTATGGCGATTGGCGTTCCAGCTAGCCCCTCTCCTACAACTTCAGCTTTTCCGGGGGCTTTTGGACAGCAGTACGGTGGATTGGGTCGTGGGAGTGTGGGGATGTCGGAAACGAGCTCTAATGCTAGTGTTCCGCAGGTTATATAGCGTTGTGATATGTTTGTTATAGGTTAAGTAAGGATTCAGAAGATGCTGAGTTTTATGTGTGTGTGTGTGTGTGTGTTTAGGTTTAGGGTTTAGTATTCTGAAGATGCTGACTTTTGTGTGTGTGTGTGTGTGTGTTTAGGGTTTAGTATTCTGAAGATGCTGAGTTTTTGTGTGTGTGTGTGTGTGTGTTTAGGTTTAGGGTTTAGTATTCTGAAGATGCTGACTTTTGTGTGTGTGTGTGTGTGTGTTTAGGGTTTAGTATTCTGAAGATGCTGAGTTTTTGTGTGTGTGTGTGTGTGTGTGTGTTTAGGGTTTAGAGTTTAGTATTCTGAAGATACTGACTTTTTGTGTGTGTGTGTGTGTGTGTTTAGGGTAGGATGATGCAAGGGACGCAGGGGATGGGGATGGTGGGGACTATTGGTGGGTCAGGTTCTCAAATGAGACCAAGTGGAATGGCTCAGCATCAGCAGAGACCGGTTCAATCTTCTCTGAGACCAGCTTCTTCTCCGAGTAGTACATCTTCTGTTCCCCAAGTAGGTGTTTTTTTTAATGTGATTGTGATTGGTATTTGGTATAAGAATATGGATGTGTTGTGTACTTTGAATATTTGGAAGTTTAGTTTTGTGATTGGCTCATTGTGAAGAGGAAGATTTGCATTTTGTGAGATGAGAATGATTATCACCTCATTAGCTCATAGGGTGTGACGAAGTTGCACATATAAGCGACTCAATAGCAATAGAATCGTTTGAACCTCTTTCTTTGATTTATTGATTATTCATGTGTTCTGATGAGTGAATAGAGTCTTGGATGCCATCACTTGGTGGTTACGTATACATTATTAGTCCATTGATGTCGCACTGTTGAGCCACTTTATTTTGTGAAAAAGTTCCAGATTTTCTTGATAAGGGTTTTGTTGATAAGTTGAATTGGTTCCTTGAGAGACGATCTTTTCTTTCCTTTTTTACTCTGCGTTCCTTTCAAAAAGATTTCTTAATGAACTTTGTTTGCAAACTCTGAACTTCTTATATTTTTCCTTCGGCAGAATTTTCAAGGGCATAGTCTTATGAGACCTTCAGCTATTGGTTCTCCTGGTGTCCAATCTACTGGTGGAGCACAGCACAGCTTCCAAACTAATCAACCATGGTTATCATCTTCTGCCCAAGGGAAGCCGCCTTTGGCACCCCCTTCTTATAGACCGCAAGTAAATAATCCCTCCTTGCAACAAAGGTCTCATGCTCCTCAGCAACATCTTTCCACGTCGCCAGCGACTTCACAGCCTCAGCAACAACAACAACAACAACATCAGCTTCAGCCTCAAGAGCAACTTCAACAGTTGAGATCTCCGCAGCAGCCTTTACCTTATGCACATCAACCGCCCCGGGTTCAAGGGTCGGTAAATCAGAAAGCTGCTTCTCTAGCAATGCCGACACCGCCCCCCTCTGTGCCTCAACCAGGAAACCAAGCTAAAACAGTTTCAGCAGAAAATGAGGAGTCTGATGATCGTATCCTGGGGAAAAGAAGCATCCATGAGCTACTTCAGCAGGTATCCACTGACATCTCTTTATATTATCAACTTTGGGAGGACATTTTGCATATTGACCGCAGAATAGATTAGCATTCTCACTCCTACGGCTAGATTATCACAACAATAATTGATTTTTGTCCACTTGGAATATATATATTATTCTTTGAATTTAGTATGCCTTGCCTATCCACAGATTGATCCGTCTGAGAAACTGGATCCAGAGGTCGAAAACATCCTTTCTGATATTGCTGAAGACTTTGTGGAGTCAGTAAGTAGCTCACACCACTTTGTTTTTCAACACGTTTTATGTGAACATTGTGATTTAAGAGTAAAACTTACTGTCTGCTGATGTGTTATTTCTCTAACTCTAGCTCGTTGTGTTTCCTTTTATACAGATCACAACTTTTGGTTGCTCTTTAGCCAAGCATAGAAAGTCAGATACTCTAGAGGCGAAGGACATCTTGCTCCATGTTGGTTAGTTCTGATTGATATTGTGATATTGTGTACCCATTTCTTTTGATCTCTGTTTCCAACTACGATGTTTGATTTCGTTTTGGTATCTTGTTTCCCTAAATGTAGAAAGAAACTGGAACATCAGGCCTCCTGGTTTTAGCAGTGACGAGATCAAGACATTTCGAAAGCCAGTAAGAGTCTATTACATATCTGTTCCACTTTTTTTAACAGGGAATTATTACTTAAACCCAAGATAGCGTGCTAACTCCTTTTGGTTCTTTTCCTTGATAATGATTTGCAGCTGACAACAGATATTCACAAAGAGAGACTTGCCGCTGTAAGTTCTTAAGTTAATGCACACATAATGTGATAGCAACCAGTACTGTTGCAACTTGCAACACAGTAGGAAAACAAAAAAAAACTTATATATTGACAGTCTTTATTGTTGACTGTGTATATATGTTGTTGGATTTGAAGGTAAAGAAGTCTATGACGGTAACGGAAGCAGCAAACGTCAGGTTCGGGCACGGGACGGCTAATGCAAGAGGAGGCCAGGCAAAGACGCCTGCTAACCCATTGCCCTCTACAACTTTTAATCACTGATGTATTAGAAGAACCACTTCAATTCAATCTTGTTTGGTAGGAAACATTCAATTCAAGGTTAGAAACTTCTGTAACTTAATCTTCCAGCCTAGATCTTACTTTTGAACCACAAGTAAAAAGTATCTTTATCACCTTATGGTATTGAATCGATTCGATGTTATGCAAAGCACAAACATGTAACAAGAGATGAGAAATGGCTATGGAATCATTAAACAGATTATTAATACAATTGAAGCTTCAATTAGCTATGGATTCAACTTTTGCTTCTCTCATCAATATCTTATCCTTCAACGATCTTCACTGGTGTCCTGCAGAGTAAAACCGAAAAGATTATTTTCAAGGCATGTTTTGCTGCCAATAGGTTTTAGATAATTGATTTCACATACCCGAAAGGACTCTGTTTGATTGATAGGAGCTCAATGTCAAGCTACAAAAGAAAGGGTAACCACAACATGAACACCATTTTGAAAACTGATTCAGTTTTGTAACAACATAGCTTTGATTACCTCGATTGTTGCGTTTGGAGGAATCTCTTGCACTCCTTTCTTCCCATACGCAAGCTCGGGAGGAACAATCACCAATCTCTGTATATATAAATCTCAACCAAGACCTTTCAGTTATCTGACTGTATGAAAGCCTTTCAGGTTTCACGAACTAACCTGACCACCTACACGCATCCCTTCAACGCCAATGTCAAGTCCTTTCAGAACATTCCCTTTCTCTGATTGTCCAACGTCAAACCCGTAAGGCTGCAATAAGTTTAACAATTAAGGATCCTTGCATATGTACACGGTAATGGATGCTTGTAAATTGTAATACTAACCGTTCCACCTCCAACGCCGAGTCCTTGTCGACTTGTCATGAAAGTTATCCCTTTCCATTTTGCAACATAGTGAACCTACAACACAATCCCATTTAGGTTGAGCATCAAAGCTTCTAACATCCGTAAGATTTTTTTTACTTGTCGAAACAAGAAACGTATTCACAAACCGTACTGCGACCCGAGATCTTTTCACAGCTTCTGCTCCAGTGCCAACTTTTATATCATAGTACCTGCAACAACAAAAGAAACAGAATCCATAACATACTAATGCGGTTTTGCCTTGAAGACTCCAACTTTCATTCCTTCAGATGGAGTAAGACACTTTCAGAGGTTGAACTTAAACGATATATGCATTTGGGTATAGGATTTAAAACATTTCTAATGTTCTCATAAACGCAATATTCAGCTTTGTATGAATGCATCACGATCTTGGTGTATAGTAAAGAAGGAACTGAACGTACTTGAGACCATTGGGGAGAGTGGTGAATTCGCTGTCCGGAATCTTAGATGCACGTAGCTGCAGAGAAATTGTATGTAAGAGAGTGATTTGAATCAAGATTTCAAGAACAAGCATAACGTATGTAAAGAGAGAGTGACATGACCCAAGAACAAGCATAATGTATGTATGCTTACAGCTCTTCTACTGGTGCTTACAGCCTCGGATGAATCAGTTAAGAGAATCCCAGAAGCTGTTTTTAATTCAGAAAAACAACATCTTGAGGAATTTTAATACACTGACTGAGAAGCTAGCTCAAGTGTTGAAATGCAAAAAAAGAAAAAACTGATTAGTAATAGAGGAGAAGGATCTAACCGGCAGAGAGGAGTGATCCAAGTAAAACCCTTCTTCCTTCATAGCTCGGAGAAACAACAGTCTCTGATCTGATTAACCTTTCGCCGTCAGGAGACGGTAACGAGCACTGGTACGGTTTGGATTGCCTTCTTCCTGCAAATTTGATTAAAAAATAAATTCTTTTGCATGACTAATGGTTCAAAACATATAAATGTTAATGAATAAAGTTAAAATGGTGTAAAGAGACAGAAAGAGAGAGTGTACTTGATGATGGTAAAGGAAGGGAGAAAGAGAGAGAGTAATGGTGGAGAGGATGAACAAGTTTCATTGTTAACATCATTGTTTGCTTAACAGATTACTTGTGTCACCTAAACAGAGATGAGTTTGTGTCTGTGGGAGAGAAAGAGAAGAAGAGGGAAAGGGATAAAATTGGAATTCTCATCCACTAGTTATGGATGTGAGAATCTCTCACCGGTACAACCTACAAAATTAAAATTCTCAAACCGGTCCGGTTTAAATATCGTTTATCAATCAAAACCGAGTGAGTGTGCGTTATACAAAACTTCAGAATCACCGATTACTTTTCGTTGCCGCCGCCACCACCACTACCTACAACCTCCTCCCCAATCTCTCTCTCTCTAAACCGAGCCGTTATGGATTCCGTCAAACTTCCAACGGCTCCTTCACCACTCCGTTTACTCCACCGTCTCCACCACATTCCGCTCCCTCCTCGTAACCGCCACTTCAACCTCCGAACAAATCCTCTTCCCACAATCACTCAATCACGAAACCACCACGTCTCTCCCATCGCCGTCATCTCCGGTAACGAAACCTCAATATCTCCACCAAACTCTCCTCCGCCACGTCTCAAGGTCAATCCGAACTCCCTCCAATACCCCGCCGGCTACCTCGGCGCGGTCCCCGACCGCACGATCGATCCCGAGAACGGAAGCATCGCCGAAGCCATGGAGTATCTAACGAGCATTCTCTCCACGAAGGTCTACGACGTCGCGATCGAGACTCCGCTGCATTTCGCCAAGAAGCTATCGGAGAGGCTTGGTGTTCGCATGTACCTCAAGAGAGAAGACTTGCAACCTGTAAAATCATCAAATCGCATTTCTATAAACATTGGTTTGATTTTTTTTTTTGCTGAATCATTTTATGTGTGGATGGTTTAGGTTTTTTCGTTTAAGATTCGTGGAGCTTACAATATGATGGCGAAGCTTACAGCAGAGCAGTTAGAGAAAGGTGTTATCTGTTCCTCAGCTGGAAATCATGCTCAAGGAGTTGCTATGTCTGCTGCTAAACTCGGCTGCACGGCTGTGATTGTTATGCCTCGTACAACTCCTGAGATTAAAGTAATTTGCATTAGCCTTGATGAATGTTTTTTTTTTTAATGTATTCTTGTTTTATCTCAAGTTAGGGTTCGAAAACCCGTAGTTAGTTAATAGTAACAAAAATCACTACATATAAATATGTTTTTGTTACTATTAAGACCGCACCGCATTTATTTTAGCTCAAGTTAGGCTTCGAAAACCCACAGTTAATAGTAACAAAAATCTCTATATATCTATATGTTTTTATTATACTAATAAGACCGAAGATGTACTGCATGTTGTCATTCGGACCCTTAGGCTCACTCCGCAGTTAATAGTAACAAAAATCTCTATATATACTATGTATTTGTATGTTTTTGTTACTATTAAGTTAAGACTGCAGTTATTCTGCATGTTGCCATTCCGACTCTTAGAGCATCTCCAACCACACTCCATAATTTACTGCAAAATGGAGTGGGAAATGAAGTGATGAATAAACAAAAAAATGAATATGGAGTAATGAGATTTTTGTTTCTTCATCAGTCCATTCTCCACTCCATTTTACAGTAAAATTTGGAGTGGGGTTGGAGATGCTCTTAGTATCTGATTGATCTTTTGGTTTATTTTGAAAAACTACAGTGGCAATCTGTGGAGGATTTGGGGGCGACGGTTGTTCTTGTTGGGGATACGTATGATGAAGCACAAGCATTTGCTAAGCAACGAGCTCAAGAAGAAGGTTTGACGTTTATACCTCCTTTTGATCACCCGGATGTTATTGCTGGACAAGGGACTGTTGGTATGGAGATCACAAGGCAAGCTAAAGGGCCATTGCATGCTATATTTGTCCCCATCGGTGGTGGTGGTTTGATAGCTGGTATTGCTGCTTATGTGAAGAGAGTTTCTCCCGAGGTACATGTGCACTCTTTTGTAATGTGATTGCTTTGGTGTATTGTCACATCGTTCTCTGTTATTTTATAATGTAGTTCTGCAGTTTTGTTACCTTATTGTGGCTTTTATTGGGTTATGCAGGTGAAGATCATTGGTGTGGAACCAGCTGATGCAAATGCAATGGCGTTATCTCTGCATCACGGCGAGAGAGTGATATTAAACCAGATTGGTGGTTTTGCAGATGGTGTAGCAGTTAAAGAAGTTGGTGAAGAGACTTTTCGTATATGCAGAACGCTGATGGATGGTGTTGTTCTTGTCACTCGTGATGCTATGTGTGCATCAATAAAGGTAATATATATACATTATTTGTTATCGCTTAGCATCTGCACAGCGTATTCTTCTAGAATGTAGATAATCATATATATTTTTGTGTCTACAGGATATGTTTGAGGAGAAACGGAACATATTAGAACCAGCAGGTGCTCTTGCAATCGCTGGAGCTGAAGCATACTGTAAATATTATGGCTTAAAGGACGTGAACGTTGTAGCCATAACCAGTGGTGCGAACATGAACTTTGACAAGCTCAGGATTGTGACAGAACTCGCCAATGTCGGTAGGCAACAGGAGGCTGTTCTTGCTACTCTCTTGCCTGAAAAGCCTGGAAGCTTTAAGCAATTCTGTGAATTGGTGCGTGTTTTCCAACATGGTAGAAGTTAATACCCGTTACAGAGCGCTTATAATACAATACATTTGATCGATGCAGGTTGGACCAATGAACATAACCGAGTTCAAGTATAGATGTGGTTCGGGAAAGGAAGCTGTTGTACTATACAGGTAAGTCTGTTCCTTAAAATTCATTTTCGTGGGAGTTTCGTAATCTAATCCACACAGTTTTGTTTTGCGTGTTGCTGCTTAGTGTTGGAGTGCACACACCCGGAGAGCTTAAAGCACTAGAGAAGAGAATGGAATCTTCTCAACTCAGAACAACGAACCTTACAACCAGTGACTTAGTAAAAGATCACCTGCGTTACTTGGTGTGTTCTTTAGTTCATTTCTATCTATGTTTATTTCTCCTTGAAGAGTAAGTTTGAAGGGTGAGTCACACTTTGACACTTTGTATATTTCAGATGGGTGGAAGAACAAGTGTTGAAAACGAGGTTCTATGCCAATTCACATTCCCGGAGAGACCAGGTGCTCTAATGAACTTCTTGGACTCTTTCAGTCCACGGTGGAACATTAGCCTTTTCCATTACCGTGCAGAGGTTTGTTTCTGTATCCACCATTAGAACATCTTTGTTGTAACTTTGAGCCTCGTTTTTTACTATACACTGTTTCCTTCTTTCAAAACAGGGTGCGGCAGGCGCGAACGTGCTGGTGGGGATCCAAGTCCCAGAGCATGAAATGGAGGAATTTCGAAACCGAGCTCAAGTTCTTGGATACGAGTACGTTTTGGTTAGTGAGGACATCAATTTCAAGCTTTTGATGCAGTGATTTGGAGCTAGTTGTGATGGAGAAACCAAAACCGAGGATCCCATGAGAGTCTTCCTTGTGCACATGGTTGTTATTGACCTCTGATCTTGCTGTTAAACCAACTGTGTCACACTCTTTTATTATTTTCGGATGTATTGGATGGGCTTTGTCTTACTAACACTGGCCCAGTGTGTAACCTTTATTTTGGTACCTAGGAGCTCTAATCGCTATGTTGTAGACTTTTGTACCTTTCAGCAAATAATTTAAAGGCTAACCTCCAATAAAAGCAACATTGATATAATATTACCAAATTACTGTAGATTTTCTTATGTATAAAGTCTGATGTTTTTTCTTTAATGGATGTAGATTTTTGAGATTTAAAACATTAATTAAAGAGTTAGCGTTAAAAAGGTGAAGGTATATATCTGTCACTTATGTTCAAAAAAAATATATATATCTGTCACTTAGATTTTAAAATTGAAGTAAAACAAACAAAAAAATCTAATGAAAGTAGGTATGGTTTTTGGATTCCATTGTTTTCCCAAAACCAGCCCCTTGGTTTAGGTTTGATTTGTAAACGAAAATATCTTAAAACACTTCCCAAAAAGGAAACAAAAAATAAAGTAACAAAACCACAAAACCATGGGTAGTTTTCAGACCACCACTTTTGACGGCCCAAAAACCAGCTGCTCTGTTTCTCTGTTTTGTATATATTCCTCTCATCCTTTGACTCTAATCCAGAAACCGCTTCCCAAATTCTCTTTCATCACCGCTTAACAAATTCAAAGAAGATACAATATCTAGAATTCATTAATCTTTTTTGGGAGAGTTTCTATATATTCTTCGGGTATCTGGAAATGAGATTTTGTGTTTGTCAAATTCCCCTTTGATTTATTTCAATTTGTTACCAATTTTAGTGTTCAAACTATAAATGGAATCGAATGTGATGTTCTCCGGGTTCAGTCCAACAATGTTAACCCTCGAGATTCCGCATCAGAACCCTCAAAACCCGGTTCAGTTCCAGCATCCTCATCCACATCCTTACCCAACCGATCAACAACAACAACAACAACAACCAATAAAACCCTTATACCCTCACACAACCAAGACCAAACAACCCTCAGGAGAAGAAGACGAGCGTGAATCAGGCTCCGGATCCGGATGCCACCCAGAAGACAGCACAGGAACCGACGGAAAAAGAAAAATCTCCCCCTGGCACAGGATGAAATGGACGGACACGATGGTCCGTCTCCTGATAATGGCAGTCTTCTACATCGGCGACGAGGCCGGTGGTGGTGGGGCCCTCGGAGACCAAACAGATGCCAAGAAAAAATCGATAGGGATGTTACAGAAGAAAGGGAAGTGGAAGTCCGTGTCGAGAGCCATGGTGGAGAAAGGCTTCTCCGTGTCTCCACAACAGTGCGAGGACAAGTTCAACGACCTTAACAAGAGGTACAAGAGAGTCAACGACATTCTCGGGAGAGGGACAGCGTGTCGTGTCGTTGAGAATCAAGGGTTGTTAGAAGGGATGGATCATATTAATCCGAAACTAAAAGAGGAGGTTAAGAAGTTGCTTAACTCTAAGCACTTGTTTTTTAAAGAGATGTGCGCTTATCATAATAGTTGTGGTCATTTAGACCAAAGGGAATTAACAAATAATAATCAGATTCCGGTTTTGTCTAAACCGGAGTGTTTTCACGCGGGGGAGAGTGAGAGAAAAATGGAGTCGGATAATACGGATTCGGAGACCGAGGTTGAGGATACTGATGAGGAGGAAGAGGAGAGGAGGGGGAAGAAGGCGAGAGTAGTGTCCGGGGGAGCCGAGGTGAAGAGGATGAGGGAGGAGACGGCGCGTGTGTTGGATGATCCGGGGAAGAGCGCGTGGGAGAAGAAGGAGTGGATGAGGAGGAAGGCGTTGGAGCTGGAGGAGAGGAAGGTTGGGTATGAGTGGGAAGCTGTGGAGATGGAGAAGCAGAGAGTGAAGTGGATAAGGTATAGGAGCAAGAAAGAGAGGGAGATGGAGAAGGCTAAGCTGGAGAATCAGAGGAGGAGTCTTGAGACTGAGAGGATGGTTTTGATTTTGAGGAGGAGGGAGTTTGAGATTACTGAGGGGCAGTTTGCGGGTAAAAGGGTTGACCCGAGTTTAGGAACCGGGTGAGGTGTTTAGTGTTTAGGATTTTTTTTTTTTGTGTTTGGGTTTGATTTATATATAAAGTTTGTTAGTTTTGAAATATGGATGGTGATTTAAGATTCTTACATTTTCGAGATAATCAGGAGATTATATATGTTTTAAGTAATCCAAAACGTGTTTCAAAGGTTTTTAGTTGGTGAAGTGAGTAGGAATTTTTTTTTTTTTTTTTTTTTGTCAACATAAATTTATTAATCAGAAAATATGTAGGTTCACAAATACATACACAATAATAAAAACACCAAATTACAGAAGTAAAATGATGAAAACATCCAACTACAATTGCGATCTTTGATTCTTTGCCGCATTATGAACATCCTTTCTCTTTGTTGTATTACACTGGCCTTGTTCCTATTTAGATTTAAATATATTCTTCGGTTTAGAATCCAATTTATTGATTCAACCGTAAGAAATAGATTTTGACAAGGCCAATTATCAACGATTGTATGGATATCGCCATACAACAAAGAGAGTACATCTTCTTCATTGTGTTGTCGTCTTCTACAACAGTTCAGCCAAATATTTTGATACCAAGTATATTGTATCAAAATATAAATTATAAATACCTTCGACAACATCATCCTTCTTCTTTTGATCTTTGATGACTTCCAATTTCTCTTCAATAGTCTCACCATTTTTAATGGATTGACTATTTGCTTCCAAGTTGTCGTATCCTGTCTTGCTCTCTCTTCAATTTGCTCTCTCAACCATAATTGCTTCCGGTGACAATAAACACCATCGTAAAATATTTCCAATGAAATAATCCTTTTACCAGCAACTTGTAGTTGCAGAAACTTGTCACCCACGTGAAAACAAAAAACAGGAACAGAAGAACAATTGGAGAGCCAATGTTCAACTTCACGATCTATCCAATGTTCCACTTCATGATCTCTTACTTCATAACCAAATATTCCTGGATCCCAAACCCATGGAGGAAAATCATATCTCAAATTGGAGAGATGTAATTCACGATGGTGTTGAAATTGAAATATTTCAAAACGGAAATAACAGAGGCCGCGTGCAGAATATATCAGCGGAATGAAACCGACACAAAACATCATGGAACCTTGCCGAAATGAAGTCGGAGAGTAGGAATTTATCTATCATTTGCATCAATGAAGAAATAAAAATATATTTAGAAAGAAGTAAAAGACAATACACATAAACACATGCATTTCTGCTTCCAGGGTCATAAATGTTTAACAATGATCCACAATTATAATGGGAAAAATAAGGATTAAGGATCTCAAAAAGCAATAAAAATTAGCACACCCGGTGGGACTCGAACCCACAATCGTTTGATTAGAAGTCAAACGCCTTATCCATTAGGCCACGGGTGCTTTTGTTTATAATGCCAGTGCTTCTGTATTTATTAATTTTCGTAATAGAGTAGAGAAGTTTGGTTATACAGTATATGCAAGAACAATAGAGTTTCCACCGGAGGTTGAATTTCAAATCCACTTCTACGGACGCAATTGATGCAGTAGAGAATGGAACTCCAGTCTATTTTTCATCAAAACTGTGGGTGAAGTGAGTAGAGAATGGAACCTTGCTACCTACCTATACAATAGCACTCAGTATCGCAAGAGATTATATCACTTTCTGAAAAACCATAGTGGTTACAAAGCACACTCGACAATGATGCCAATTCTCATATCTTTGATTTACCAACCCTTACTATTTTTGTTTAGGGTCTTTGGCTTTTGTTCATCTAGAGTGATGGTTTTCTTTATGATGCATATTGTTTTTTTTTTGTATTCTGCTTTGAGATTTTATTTCTTTTAAACACATTCACATGAATAACATTAGTGTTAAAAAGTCATTAGTTTCTTTTTATATTTCATTTGTTATTTAATACAGTTAGTTTTGAACTAGTTTTAGGCTCCGAATGGTAAGGTGTAGGATAATTGCGGTTCAAGTGCGGTGCGGTTCAAATAGTAACAAAAATGTACAGATACATAGATATATGTAGAGATTTTTGTTACTATTCACAGCAGTGTGAGGCTGAGCGGTTGGTTACCATTCGAAGCCTTAATATAATAAAATGTTAAAAAAAAATATTGTATGCTAAATAAAACTTGGTTCATGAATGTGGTTATGGTTCATGTCTAGTTGGGTGGCATAGTTACTCGAGATGAGTTTGTGGATGGTCCATTCAGATGGTCAATAAATAGGGAACAATTTTATAAAGCTTTACGATCAAGCCATTTTCTTTAAATCTCTGGCCTCCATTGTAAAACTTAACAAGCTACTCTTTATTAACATGAGCTCTATAGTGAATTTTTGGGATGGATCTTGAAGAATATATACAGTTTTAGAAAATTCATTTGTCTTTGTATTTGTTTTTACCATAATTTGTTTGTTTACCAAACAAAATAAAACGTGCAAATATCTAGGGCCGGTCCTGGGTTAAATCCCATAAAACTAGAGCTTTAGATGCCACATAACATAAAAAAATTAGGGACGCTAAATTTTATAAAAGTTAATTTGGTCCAATGGTTGCTAGTCCAGATTATGCTTAAGAGTTCACAAGTTGAATAGTCATAAAATTTATTCATTACTGAAAAATCGGTTACATATTCTAACTTTCCATATATGTTATTAGTTATATAATTTAAAGAAAGGATATGTTCTTGTTCCACTTGATCATATTTGTTGTCTTTGCCGAAAATAGCTCCATAGGAATTTCATGTACATTTTTTTATTTATGTTTTGAAATTTTGTTAAGAACTTATGAAATTCAAAAAAAAACTATCAAACGGTCTTGATATTTTCAAAGTTATCTATGAAAACAGTAGTATTGGTAAAATTTATGGTAGTATATTTTATTATATGTTTTGGTCCATCAATAGATTATATACTTTACTCTCAAGTTTCTTTGTAGTTGTTCAAATTTCTGTTTTTTTTTGTACTTGTAGAAAATGCTATTATACTAGTATTAGAAACTAAATCAACCAAGTGAACTTCAAATATGAAAAAAAACAACATATAAGATGAGCTGTAAATAATGTTTTGATGTTTTGTACTTATAAAAAAGACATTATTTTGATTATGTACCTAAAATATAATAAAACTTAGTTCTAGTTATGGGACATTATTTTCTTAATCTACTTTAGGCGCTTCGCTAATCCGGACCGGCACTGCAAACATCATAAACTATAGAAATATTATAATATATAAAAATTTCGATGCAAAGAGAATTAAAATTTGAGAAATATATGTTTGGATGGAACTTTAAAATAATCAAATGAAATTCCTAAATTGCAAAATCAAACAATATTAAAAGCCCTTAATCCTCAAAGGAGAGGCATGCCACGTCAATTAAAAAAATCATCCAATCATAGATCTTCAAACAGCCACCTCACACATGCTTTTATTCTACAGAATAAGCGGGTTCTCTTCGTCGGCATCGTTTCGTATTTCTGCAAATCGTCGTTATCAGATATCACTCTGCATCTACAATACCATTTCATCTTTTATAGACACCAACCACATTGCATCACTTGGAAACCTTTTTCGTAAAACCCTAAATCTCCATAACGAAACAAAGTTCCTCCGTAGCCTCTCTCTCTCTCAGTCACGACAAAGCAAATCAAGATGTTGGGGAGGAACGTTAGGTTAAGAAAAGAGTATCTCTACAGGAAGAACTTGGAAGGTGATGAGCGTAAGCTCTATGAGAAGAAGCGCAAGATAAGAGAAGCCCTCCAAGGTTTGACTGATTCGTTAACAATCTCTCTATTAAGGTTTCTCTCACTGTTTATTGATTTCGATGCCTTTGTTTATGTGTAAACAGAAGGGAAGCCGATTCCTACAGAGCTTGGTAAGGAGGAGGCGAAACTTCGACAAGAGATTGATCTAGAAGATCAAAACACTGCCAGTAATAATTCTATTTGTGTCGTGGTCTTCTTTTTTATACATAAGAGGTGTTTTTCCTATGTTGATAATATGCATTGGCATTTGCGTTACTGGATATCATAGCTTGCAAAGTGAGGATGATCTCAAGAAGTCTTTGATAGATGACTTATGTTCCATGTTTATATTCCAATAGACTTTCAAGGCCGTATTTCTTACCACAAGTTTGTGGCTTCATCCTTTCTCCAATTTGTGAAAACTGCTGTGAATTTCTTTTCTCAAAACTTTTCATTTGCAGCTGCAATTACATTTAATTACGTGATGAAAGTCTGGTCAAAGGTTTGAAAGTCCTTCACAAAACTGAGCTATGATTATCATATGATTCTGCATAAGTACATAAATTTGCTCCTGATTCTTGATTTGATTTCAAAGTGAGACGTCTCTCATGAATTTTTTTTATTGTAGCTCATTGTATATTCACACGATCAGAAGTATGAAGAAGGGAAGAAAATATCTCTCTCCTCTGGCGATACCTCAACTAATAGAAAGAGCACTCTTAAAATGTTTTTCAGTTCAGTGTATGTGATCTTAATTGTTAGTAGCTTCACACAACCACTCCAAGGTTTAGGTTAATACCATGAAGTAAATAAAAAGCTGGTATGTTTCATATCCAAAATCTTTTATGTTTAAGTTGTTATGTTGCAATATAATAAAATTAACAGTGGTTCTTTTTTCCACTCTATACTTTTCTCTACTTTGAAATGAATAAGCTCACCTATTTTAATATCTTGGAAGACATATTACAGGGGCTCTGAGCTATAAAATATGTAGTGTAATACTAGGCGTGCTATTCTGGAAGAGTGTCGTGAACTTGAGCAAACTCATTTAGGCAAGCCATGTTTTAATGATTCCAACAGCGTATGATCCTAAGTTCTTGAATTCATATGTTCCTTTTGATTAAAAAAAGTATCATCGCTTATACTCTACAAAATCTGCAGGAACAGTAACATCCTCATATTGAGAGGCGCAAAAGAATACTCAGGAACAGAGACAGAGATATAACATTGGGTGGAAGAGGTGAGAAGCTTCAGAGAAAATAGAGACCGTGAGACACCATTGGTCAGCTGAGTTATCTTGAGAGGCCCAAGAGANGGCCCAAGAGATACAAGTGAATGATCAACAAAATCTGGAGGAACAGAAACAAATACATACTGACTAGAGCATCTCAGCATTGGTGGTCATTATACTTCATAGGAACACACATGTGAGAAAAAAAGTGGTTCAAATAAGAGTCAAAA